GTGTGCCTTGGCAGTCTACCTGCCTGTCAGCCTTCCATCTGTGCACAAACTTATCTCGTGCCCTCATTGGTCATGTGCGCGTTCGTGTGTGTTGGAGGAGGGGCTCTGTAAGGAAGTGGCAGATTTTTTCCGGCTGTGTATTTTCAAATTGTAGCGCACTCGAGCTGGTTTCTCCAAAATTACCTATCCCACCTTTAAGTAGTGTATCGACATGGGTGTGTGGAACCTATAAATTAAGCTTTAGGCAAGCAGATGGACAGACAAACCTTGAGATAGCAGCAGAGGCCATCTCCCTTCAGATTTCCCTCTTTGTCCTTGTAGAGTTTCACCTTGTACTCTTCAGTGATGGGATCCCTCATAACAATGCCGCACTTGGACATCATTTCAACAAACTCCTCATTGCTGACGTCAAGAGGCAGGCCTGAGGAGCAACGCATGAGGAGAAAAATCAGAGAGACAGTGAGATAGGATTAACAGTCAGGGACTCAGCTGTCTCATTGTTAAACACACCAACCTGATACGTAGACATTAGTGTTTTTAGTGTCCTCGATATCGAACCATCCTACAAGCACAGAAAAGGGAAAAAACATTTATCATTATTTAGAATTGACATACAACATACACCAATGACTTGAGCTCTCCCTGGCTATGTACAATTCATTGATCCCCATTTGTGTGCTAGTTGCTGCCCTGGTTTTCTTTCTTCTTGTTGATGTCACTTTACCTTGTTCTGCTTTCCTTTTCTCCGCTTTCTGTTTGGCTTCTTTAGACTCCTCGTCTGGGTCCTGGTCCTCGGTAGCATCTGCTGGTTTCTTCTTTCCTGATGACTTGCTGTCTGTTTCTGGGGCTGCAGTGTTGGAGCTGCTCACTGCAATGTTGGCATCTGGAACTCCATCTTCATTGAAGCCATAGTTTGCCTGGTAGGCTGCAATGAAGTCCTCAGTTATCTAGAGAAAAGAAGCAAACCTTGTCAACTTCAACATGGAAACTGTCCCTAAGTCATACATTAAAGGATCTGCAAAAAGAAGTGACATTTACATGTAATGCTTCCTCTTGTGTGGTGGTTACCACAGATTAAGTGTATTGCCAACTGTGGACAGTGGAAAGTACAGGATGGTATGAAGGGAGCTTTGATATTTAGACTCAACATTTGTGTTGCCAGTCAGAGTATCACAGTATATGTGACATGTCAGCCAAACTTGCAAACAGCGGGTGTAACCCATAATCAATGTGGTCAAAATAATACATTTAAATTCAGCATCATATATGACACAGACTTCTGCAAATAAAAATAGTACAAATTAAAGATCTGAAGCTCAGGGACTGAGAATCTGCAAGGAACTAATATGATGTGTGAAAACAAAAACTGGGAGATAAAGAAAAGATCATACTTTAGGGAACCAAGCTTTCTTTTCTGGGTCCCAGTCGTACACAGTCCCATCCTCTGGGTCAGTGTAGGTGTTGGCGTCAGAGCCATCTGCATTTCTACGGTCATACATTTCCTGCATCCGCAGCTGCTCCGTAAAGTCTTTGTTGGGAGTTGATGGCTCAGTCATCTGCAACAAAAATGTGAAATTATCCAGATCAACAAGCCATTATATTTCAGCATTAATACCAATTATGCCCCCAATGTGGCAACAGTGAAGTAATGTTGATTTAAAAGAAAAAATAAATACTATGTATGGTTTAACATTAACATTAATATGCAAAAGGCCAAAGCAGCATAGTAAACGCATGTGTGCCACAATCCTGGACCAGTGCTGTAAAATAATCAATAAATGACTGAACTTATTCTATGACATATTTCAACAGCCTGACTCCACAATGCCCACAACAACAAATATGTTGTACACAACAGATAATATGTTGCTACTTGCACTGTCACAGCCTAGTCAGTCATTCGCTTATATTCATTGCACTGATTATTGAGAACTGACAGCTTGAAACGGTGTCAGCAAGCTATTTAACACATGTTAGGAGATCTTGGCCTTGGTTAAAAGGCTGTTAAGATTCAATTCACATCTGGATAATCTATTTGTGAAAATGTTTTAACATCTTTATTCAAGATTCAAAGGCTTTATCGTAATATGCACAGTAGCAACAGTGTAGTTATGGCAATGAAATGTTTAAGTCCCACGCTCCAGCAATGCAACATAATGTATGACATAAAACAAAACAAAATCAAATTACAACAATTAAATACTGTACAGTGGTAGTAATTCATGTATGAGATGCAAACAGAACAATGCTATGGAGTTATGAAGGCACTTAACAGAGCCCATGGTTATCATAATTACATTTAAAAAAGGAATAAAATGTAAATGAAAAAAACGTGTTCTTCTGCTTCTGAAGTAACGTAAGAATGTAGTTGATGTTAGCAAACATAGCTAGTTAGCTTTCGTTACCTTTTACAACAATAGGCCAGGCGATCTAAAAAGCTGGTAGGTGTGACGGTTAACAAAACAGACTCTCGCCGTGTATATACTCAAATATAAAACACACTCGGTCTGTGTGTTTGATTTTTAATTCAAGATTAATGTTAATCGCTCCGCGCTAACTAACGTTCACCCTGCACCACTCTGGATTCAATGAAGTACTTCCGATGTCAATGTTCCAATGCACATGCGTGACAACTGGGAAAGAAGTGCTCGATTTGTAAAACAGTATTTACCTTTTCACCGTAGCAACCGCCCCGCTCAATAGAAAGTGTACATCCAACGCGCGATCACTCCGCCTGCCGCACGTCTTGTAAAGAAAACAAGCGCCACTGGCACGACTGGCTAGATTTCAAGTTAGCAGGTAAGCTAAGTAAATTAGCAGTTATACTTATTCTGTTTGTGATGGCGGAGGGAAGCTCTAACGCGGCCAACCTGCCTCCCGGAGACCCGCAGCTTATTAATATGATTGTGGAGCATCTGAAAAACCGGGGGCTTTTTGATGAGTTCCGTCGCGACTGTCTCGCCGACGTTGATACAAAGGTAACTCACCAGCTAACAGTGCTATAATGACCAACATTACTTCAGACGTAAAGCTATTTGTAGCTTGTATTGCTCAATAGTGTTATTACATTGAATGTGTATGAAGCTATATCTAGTATGTGATTGACTCGCTGCAAGAGTTCTTATGAAAGTTCAGTTATAGTTACGAGAATAAAGTCGTAATGTTACGAGAATAAAGTCATAATTACGAGATTAAAGTCGTAGTTTCATAAGTGACTTGAGAAGGAGACAGCAGCGTCCTGCAATAAAATGAGGAATGTGGAGCATCTTGCGAAGCCGTACTTTAGTTTAGGTTTCTCAAATAACAAAATACTTAATCTTTTGGCACATCAGCATCAGATTATCATAAGTATTAGAACTTTGAAAAGGTTGTGCAAGAAAGTATGTCTATTATTTCGAAGAACCAAACGGACTTGGAGAAGATTGTCTCCTTTCTGCAGGAGGAAATTGATGGTTCTGGCCGACTACAAGGCTATCGTTGGTTACATCGACGAGCTGTTCAAAGGGGATTTGTTGTTTCACAAGAAACGATGAGACTTGTAATCAAGGCTTTGGATCCAGAAGGAGTCGAACGATAGCCTTGTAGTGGAATCGCTTACACATCTTCCGGCGCAGACTGAAAACTCATCTCTTTCGAGTCCACTTCGAGCGATAGAATTACTAACCAAGAATTGCTAACAAAGCACTTATATACTAATAAAGGACTGGCTTATCTAAAGCCAGTTGAGTAGCACTTGAAGTGTTTTAGCTCTATGAAACCTGATGTACTTTAATGATCCTGTTTCCTTCAAGTTTGTATTTCCTCCTGCAGAAAGGAGACAATCTCCTCCAAGTCCGCTTCTCAAGTCACTTATGAAACTACGACTTTAATCTCGTAATTATTAGCCTACTTTATTCTCGTAACATTAGGACTTTATTCTCGTAATATTACGACTTTATTCTCGTAATTATGGACTTTATTCTCGTAATGTTACGACTTTATTCTCGTAACTATAACTTTATTCTCGTATTATTACGACTTTATTCTCGAAACCTCTCTGTTTTTTTTTCTAAGTTTGGCCCTAATACTCCGTCGTAAATAATGCCTGCAGAAATAGAAAAGTAGCTTACATTGTGTATATTGTATTTTATGTTTATGTCAAATTTAAATGTTACATCTGACTATTGTCCACTGGACAGAACAGGCGTGTGTTTAATGACCAAGTTTAAATCATTGCCTTTTTCTTCCAGCCTGCCTATCAGAACCTGCGGCAGAAAGTGGACAACTATGTCACTTCAAACCTGAGCACACAGGACTGGAACCCGTCCATCAACAAGAACCAGATGAGGAACGGACTGAGACAGAGTGTTGTTCAGTGAGTATTACTTTCACTTACTACTTGCCCTCTGTACACTGTAAAGCAGTGGTCGCCAACCAGTCGATCGCGATCGACCGGTCGATCGCGAGTGTGGTGCGGGTAGATCGCGGACCGTTAAAAAAAAAAGTAACAAAAGAAAGAAAAATAAAATTAAAATAATAATGTTTGAAAAATACGTTTTTAGATGTAAACCTATCATCCACCACCCCGTTAGCAGGTGCCACTTGATTGACGTATATTTGAGACACTTCAATAATATAATACATTAACCGTGCTTTACGTGAACCTCATCATGACACAAGAGACGACGGCAGGACTGTAATTTCCCATGTTCAGTGAACGCAACAGAGNGAGACAGAGTGTTGTTCAGTGAGTATTACTTTCACTTACTACTTGCCCTCTGTACACTGTAAAGGAATAACAATGTGCATTGTACAGCTACAAATTTGAATGTTTGTGATTAACCGATGGTTAA